TGCCAAGAGGTCTGAGGAGAACTCACCACCTCTGTCAGAGTGCAGACGCAGGACAGGAAAGTCCGACTGGAACCGCTCGCGGAGCTGGAGACGAACAGCGCGGATCCAGGGGATCAAAACATCAGGGACATCCCCCTTGCGCTGCAAGGGGAAGACCGTGGTGTAACGCGTGTAGTCGTCGACGACCAGCAGGAAGTACCGCTCGTGGCCCTGTCCACGGACGCGGGCTGGGCCCCACACGTCCAGGTGGAGAGTCTGCAGGGGAGCCTCTGTGGGAGGGAACGAGGTGGAGTGAGGAGCGGCGCGCTGCCGCCCCTTGACACAGGGAAGACAGGGAGGAGCAGGCGAGGGTGGTAGAGGAGGCAGAGTCTCTGGAACTCCAGAGACAAGGAAACGGCGGTGCATGCTACGAAGGCGCTACACCGAGGGGTGACCAAGGCGGTGGTGCCAAAGGAGGGTCTGGTGCGACAAAGCGCGACACGAGCAGGGGGCCGCTAGCTGACCTGACGCAAACGCAGACGCAGACGCAGCTACCTGAGGGGACACAGTGGTCAGTGTGTACAGACTCGAGCCAGGCGCTCGGGTGAACGTGGCCAGGTGCCGACCAGTCCGGGAGCACGTACAATGGGTCACACGCTGACCTCCAGGGGTGAACTGGTCAACCCACACATCCTGTAGGTCAGCTCCACTCACCAAGTTCGTAGAGAACGAGGGGAGGTGAAGACCTGACAGGGAGCCAGACGGGACCGCCGGACACGGCAGGACCGTGGAGGAGTGCGCAAGGACTGGACCCCCAGAGGGGTCTGCTAGGGAGACTGCAATCGGCCGATGGAGCGGCGTGAGGGTGGTGCTGTCGCGAAAGAAGGAGCGGGAAGCACCTGAGTCAAGTGTGAAGGTGTACAAGGCCTCAGCAGGCGTAGTACCAGAGAGAGCAGACTCACTAGCACCTGGAGCAGCAGCCTCACCAGCACCTAGAGCAGGAGACGCACTAGCACCTAAAGCAGGAGCCTCACCGGCACCTAGAGCAGCAGGCTCTATACCTGGGTCAGGCGGTACGCACAGGTAACAGGCACGGTCAGCACTAGTAGGCAATGCATACATGGCAGTGAGAATAGCATCATAGTCAAGAGCAAAGATATCTACCCTCTGTCCAAGCAGCTCCAGCCAGGTGGGGAGCTCAGCCTCGTTGCCAAACTCGGTACGCCAGGCGTCGCTCAGACGGGCAAAGCAGCGGGACTGTGTGTGACCAAGCGTCCCGCAAGCCTGACCAGCCCGATCACCTGTGCGAATGACGTACGGGCAGCGAACGGTACTCAAAGACCCTCTACTCTGAGCGTACCACTAGTGAAGCTGCTGGGACGTAAGTGTCTCGCGCGGACGCCGCTGCAGCTGCAGCTGGCCACTGCCAGACGCTCCCGACTGACCAGCTCCAGGGCGACAGCCACGACGGCTACCGCCACTACCCCAACTAGCGTACCACTCACGAAGCTGCTGAGGCGTGAGAGACTCGCGCGGACGTCGCTGGAGCTGCATCTGGCCACCGCCAGTAGCAACAGTAGCAGTAGTAGCAGTAGCAGCGCGGGCAGGGCAGGCGCGGCAGGCAGGCAGGCAGGCAGGCAGGCAGGCGCGGCAGCGCGCGAACAAGGCAGGTGCTCACCAGTGGCGAGCATGGCCGACGCTCGGCGGGCGGCGGCAGGGTAGGCGCACGACGGCGGTGACGGCGGGGCCGAAAAGCGGCTGCAGAGTAGGGCCGCGGCAGCTGCAGGGCTGGCGGGGCCGCGTCGGCGTCTGGGCGGGGCCGCTTCGGCGGCAGGGCGTGGCCGCGTCAGAGGCAGGGCGGGGCCGCGTCGGTGGCAGGGCGCGGCCGCGTCAGAGGCAAGGCGCGGCCGCGTCAGAGGCAGGGCGCGGCCGCGTCAGAGGCAGGACGGGGCCGCGTCAGGGGCGGGGCGGGGCCGCGTCGGCAACAGGGCGCGGCCGCGTCAGAGGCAGGGCGCGGCCGCGTCAGAGGCAGGGCGGGGCCGCGTCAGGGGCGGGGCGGGGCTGCGTCGGCGACACGGCGCGGCCGCGTCAGAGGCAGGGCGGGGTCGCGTCGGCGGCAGGGCGCGGCCGCGTCAGAGGCAGGGCGGGGCCGCGTCGGCGGCAGGGCGCGGCCGCGTCGGCTGTAGGGCGCGGCTGCGTCAGAGGCAGGGCGCGGTCGCGTCAGAGGCAGGGCGCGGCCGCGTCAGAGGCAGGGCGGGGCCGCGTCAGCGGCCTGGCGGGGCGGCGCTCTGGCCTGACGGGCCTGCAGGGGCGGCTCGCGGGCCTGACGGGCCTGCAGGGGCGGCTCGTGGGCCTGACGGGCCTGCAGGGGCGGCGCGTGGGCCTTACGGGCCTGCAGGGGCGGCGCGCTGGCCTAGGGCAGCAGGAGGCAGCGCGAGGGCTGCAGGACGGCGCGCGCAGCGCAGCACGTCACAAGGCAGGGCAGGCAGGCAGGCAGGCAGGCGCAGGACAACACGCGGGGTAGCGCGGTAACCGCAACGGTAGGTGGGCCCGAAAAAAAAGACGGTCCTACGGACCTAGTGCTCTGAAACCATGTTAGAATCTAGCAGCAGGAATGATTGAACTATGAAAGTATTGGGTACAAATATGAAACCCTAAAAGGGGCTGTACCCCATATTGGCTACCCCACTACAGCCTACACATATATAACATGCATATATACTTTGACAGGTGTAGACTGTAGTGTAGTGACTGTTGTATTAGGAGTAGAGGGCGGGAAAGGGGAAAGTGACGTTAGGGAATGCGGGGGAAAGTACCGAGGGGCAAAATGCGAGAATCAAATTGAAACCAAAGAACCCAAGCCCGAGCAGCACATTGGGAAATGTGCGGCCCGAGCCTGGGCTAGGTAAATTCAGTCACACTCACACACTCGATTCTTGTGTTCTGTTATTCTCCCGTAATAGTGAAGGCTGACACTCTAGCTCTAGCACCCAGTGGCACACCACTAGGAGGGAACCTTCGGGGTGAGGGAGTGATCTCTTTTGTGTTCTCCGACATGTGTGTGTGTGTGTGTGTGTGTGTGTGTGTGTGTGTGTGTGTGTGTGTGTGTGTGTGTGTGTGTGTGTGTGTGTGTGTGTGTGTGTGTGTGTGTGTGTGTGTGTGTGTGTGTGTGTGTGTGTGTGTGTGTGTGTGTGTGTGTGTGTGTGTGTGTGTGTGTGTGTGTGTGTGTGTGTGTGTGTGTGTGTGTGTGTGTGTGTGTGTGTGTGTGTGTGTGTGTGTGTGTGTGTGTGTGTGTGTGTGTGTGTGTGTGTGTGTGTGTGTGTGTGTGTGTGTGTGTGTGTGTGTGTGTGTGTGTGTGTGTGTGTGTGTGTGTGTGTGTGTGTGTGTGTGTGTGTGTGTGTGTGTGTGTGTGTGTGTGTGTGTGTGTGTGTGTGTGTGTGTGTGTGTGTGTGTGTGTGTGTGTGTGTGTGTGTGTGTGTGTGTGTGTGTGTGTGTGTGTGTGTGTGTGTGTGTGTGTGTGTGTGTGTGTGTGTGTGTGTGTGTGTGTGTGTGTGTGTGTGTGTGTGTGTGTGTGTGTGTGTGTGTGTGTGTGTGTGTGTGTGTGTGTGTGTGTGTGTGTGTGTGTGTGTGTGTGTGTGTGTGTGTGTGTGTGTGTGTGTGTGTGTGTGTGTGTGTGTGTGTGTGTGTGTGTGTGTGTGTGTGTGTGTGTGTGTGTGTGTGTGTGTGTGTGTGTGTGTGTGTGTGTGTGTGTGTGTGTGTGTGTGTGTGTGTGTGTGTGTGTGTGTGTGTGTGTGTGTGTGTGTGTGTGTGTGTGTGTGTGTGTGTGTGTGTGTGTGTGTGTGTGTGTGTGTGTGTGTGTGTGTGTGTGTGTGTGTGTGTGTGTGTGTGTGTGTGTGTGTGTATGTGTGTGTGTGTGTGTGTGTGTGTGTGTGTATGTGTGTGTGTGTGTGTGTGTGTGTGTGTGTGTGTGTGTGTGTGTGTGTGTGTGTGTGTGTGTGTGTGTGTGTGTGTGTGTGTGTGTGTGTGTGTGTGTGTGTGTGTGTGTGTGTGTGTGTGCGCGCGTGTGCGTGCGTGCGTGTGTAGACGGTATAATGTCCCGGTTAGCATACCTATGAGAACAAACAAATGAATGAATCCAGGATATGGTAACATGACTTATTCTCATCAGTCCATCAGACTAGTCATTTGAGCCCTGATGCAAATAGCAAGCTCTCACATTAACTTGTCTAAGCACCTAAAAGGTGCTTCTTAAATTGATACCAACTCAATACGCACCCTGACACGTGCAAAGTAATTACACAACCAGTAAGACATTTCACTGGTGTATACAAACACTGCTTAAAGCGACGGGCAACTTTTGGCAGTGTTGGGTTCAGAAGTTTTTTTTTTGAACCAGGCTTGCCAGCGCGAAAGTGCTGGCTGGCGAAAACCAGGATTTCGTGCGGACACTTTCCATCCGCAGTAACAGTTCGCCAGGGTTCTGGGTTTTGGGTGGCAAATGTGCACCGTCGCTTTAAGATTCTTGAAGCGCCTCAATAATCAGCACAGCCATTGTGCCAATTTCCTAGTGTACCAGTGCGCCAGAAAGTCAGCATAAGCAGCGAGACGTTTCGATAATATTATACGAGGTAGTACACCACATGGCTTCTCCACATTCTTTCCTCTTAGCAACCGAAGTTGCATGCACTAGACGGCTGCACGGCCAACACGGACCGCACAGAGTGCCCCTTGTCCACCCACGTGAGGCTGCCGAACTTGAAAGACTGTGAAGCCCACTTCACCACCACGGTCACCGTGTACGTCTTTCGTTGTCCGGGTGCGATTGTAAATCTTGACGGCGACACTTTCACCTTCACTCCAGCAGGTTTCTTTATTCTCACAGTATACGTCGACGTGGTATCCGCGACATTCGTTACTGTCCGTGTAACTGAAATTTTCTTGTGCACTTGAGGCAGCGAGATAGCTGGCCGGTTCAAATTCTTCGCGGAAATAGCTCTGAGAGAAGCTGTGCCGAACTCACCCTACGCCCAGTTGTAGTCCTGCCCGGCGAGAAAGTTTCTGAAGTCCTTCTCCCCGGCATCATAGGTTAACCCAGGGTCAACCACCCTAGCAGGCACCACATGCCCCGCTCCAATCTCCCACGGAGTCGCAGCTCTCCCAAACTCGTTTTGGATCGCCCCGTTATTAGTATCAGTAGTGCGTGCTGTCGTCATCATTGCAGACATGATCTGCGAGGGCGTCCAATCAGGACGCTGCTGGATGATGAGAGCAGCAATGCCAGCGATGTGTGGTGTGGCCATGGAGGTCCCTGAAAGCGCTACAAACCATCCCCCAGAGCCAACAGTCTTGTCGGGAGCAGCAGCGAAGAGCTCAACCCCCGGGGCGATGATGTCTGGCTTGAGGATGGAGTTGGAGGGGTAGGCTGCTGGTGTGGCGCGTGATGGCTTGGCGAGCGGACCGGTGGAGGAGAAGTAGGCGATTACAGGGGCGGCGGTGGCTGCTGGGGAGATTCTGGCTGGGATGCGCGCTCCACTGAGCGTTGAGACTGCGGTGGCTGTGGTGTTGGAAGGGGTTTCAAGAGGTGATGTTGCTGCTGCTGTTGCTGTTGTTGTTGTTGTTGCTGCTGCTGTTAATGCCTTTGTGGAGGAGATGGATGCTCCGTTGCGAGAGATGGTGCTGCAGGGTGGGGCAGGGGGGAAGGGGAGGGCCACAGGGAAAGATGTCAGGGGTGAATGGGAGGAGCAGGAGAGGAATATTTGAAGTTGCAGAGCGTGCGATAGCCGGTGGGTGCGAAGTCAATTCTAGCATCACATCCTTCTCCCACTTCTCACCCTCGTCTCACCGTGCCCGCACCGCACCTTGCGCCCACAGTCGTGTATCTGCAGCGGACCTTGGAGACCCAAAGCTCAACCTCACCCCACCACTCGCCTTCTTACCCCCCCAAACACATATCCCATCCTCACCTGGCGCCCACAGTCATGTAGCAGGGCGAGAAGTTGCAGAGCGTGTGATAGCCCGTGGGTGCAAAGACGATTCTAGCATCACAGCCTCCTTCTTTACACCCTCGTCTCACCCTGCCCTCACCTCCTTCCTCCCCTTCCTCACCTGGCGCCCACCGTCATGTAGTAGGGTGCGAAGTTGCCGAACGTGCGATGGCCCTCGCCTCTGTCATTTGAGAATTCTCAAAAAACACATCCCTCGCCTCTGTCCCCCCTCCTCACCTGGCGCCCACAGTCATGTAGTAGGGTGCGAAGTTGCAAAGCGTGCGATTGGTTGTAGGGGAGAATGGGCGGCCCTCGTTGCCCGCTGCAAAGGCCACGAACACCCCCGCCTGATGGGCGGAGGGAAAGGAGAAAGGCGAGAGAGAAGAGAGAGAGGGAGACGAGAGAAGGCGAGCGACAGGAGATGAGGATGAGTGAAGGAATCTAGGTGGTTAAACCTGTACGCACTCGAATAAGGAGAGGAGATATAGGTACGAAGGAGCACTCACCGCATTGCCACTCACCGCATTGCATAAGGAGATACAGGGAAGACTCATATTGCACGAGCACTCACCGCGTTGACGCTGATGAAAGGCACGTCGTCAACGATAGCACTGGAATAATGGGATACATACAGGTACAACAAGCACTCACCGCATTGACGCTGATGAAGGGCACGTCGTCAAAGTAGGTGTCGGTGGGACTGGCTCCGCCCAGCGACAAGCTCAGCACATCCACACCGTCGGCGACGGCCTGATCAATGGCTGAGAAGATGTCAGGGCTGGTGGCGTACAGGTAACCCCCCGACTGCCAGAAGACCTTGTACATGGCCAGGCGCGCCCCTGGTGCCATGCCACTGGCTGTTCCGATGTTGGAGATCTGCACGTTGCTGTTGCCTGCTGCCGCCCTGGAGAGGGAGAGAGAGGGAAAGGGAGAGAGAAGAAGGGGGGCACACACGTGTGGAAGGAAAATGAGGGGAATGCCTTCAACGCCACACATCGTGCCGCCTGCAACGTTCACCATGCCCTATGCACCATGTCTCATGCACCATGCCCCATGCACCTTGCACCATGCACCATTCACCATGCACCATACCCCATGCACCATTCCCCATGCCCCATTCCCCATGCACCAACCCCCATGCACCATGAACTCACCCCGCACACCAGGTGCCGTGCCCGAAAGAATCACGCGGCGAGTCCCAGTCAGCCGAGAGGTCAATTGTGGTGCCGCCACTCTCAAACCCCGCGTGGAACACGCCCCCCCCGATGATCTTGTTGTTGCATGCGAAGTCGCTTGTAGTGGGACACGTGCCCGCCCACCCGGAAGGGAGTGTGCTGCTGTAGCCCTGGCAGGGACGAGGAGGGGTGGAGGGGGGTGGAGGGGCGAAGGGGAGGATAGGTAGTGGGTCAGTGGGGTGCCGGGCATGTGCCCAACCTTAGTTGGCGCCTTACGTTTACGTATATGTTCACGTACGTAGTCTTAAAAACGGGTTTACATTTACAGTCACACATAAGTTTTTCCCAGGCTGCACTTTTCATTACAAAAGTAGGAATATCGAAGCGAAATTTGACGACACGTTGCAGGTGGAGGAAACGAGAAGGGAGAAGCGCGGATGGTGAGGCGCGTACCGTGTCGGCAAAGGAGGCGTGTTCGGGCCATATGCCGGTGTCCACGATGCCAATCACCGTGCCGTCGCCTGCGCTGCTGGGCCCGCCCGCGTCGGCCCAGAGCGACCCGGGCAGGCCGAGGAACTTGTACGAGTGGGTGGTGGCAGGGCGCAGCACGCGCGCCTGCGTCACGGAGGCGACAGATGGATGCCTCTTTATCCGCTGCACCTGCGCCGGCGTGAGAGTCGCTGAGAAGCCGTTCGACGCGTGCATGTAGCTGAGACGGGCGGAGAGGGGAAAAGGGGGAGAGGGGAAAGTGCGGAGAGGGGGAGTGGGGAAGATGGGATGGGAGGGAGATGGGGAGGTGAGGAACTTGTACGAGTGGGTGGTGGCGGGGCGCTGCACGCGCGCCTGCGTCACGAACCCCACGGACGCCACGGACGGGTGCCGCCTCATGCGCTGCACCTGCGCTGGCGTGAGCGTCGCTGAGAAGCCGCCGTTTGAGCGGCACGTGCACGTAGCTGAGAAGGGAGGGCGGGCATACTGGGGAAGAGGAAGAAAAGCACGTTAAGGGAAACGAGGGGCGTGAGCGTCGCGGAGAAGCTGTTCGACGCGTGCGTGTAGCTGGCGCGGCGTGGAGGGGACGGGGGGAGCGGGGGAGGGGATGGGGTGGGTGGGAGTGTGGAGGAAACGGAGGGGAGATGAAGCAGTGGAAAGGAAGGGGACGGTGGGAGAAAGGGGAAGCCCGTGCAAATCCTTCGGGAAGCCCGTGCGAATCCTTCGTCAGAAATAACCCCTCATTCCCCTCACCTGTAGACCATCTTCCCGGCGCCCACCCTGCTGTCCCGCAGCACGGCCTGCTGCATGCGCTGCAGCAGTTGCTTGAACGCCCTCACGCCCGGCGCCCTCACGTTCACCCGCGGCCGCCGCAGCCGACGACCAAGCCGTCCTAAACCACTGGTAGTAGCCGCACCAGCGGCGGAGGCGGAGGAGGAAACAGAGGCGGTACCAACGGCAACGGAACCGTGGGCGGCGCCGTCTGACGTCGAGTCTCTCGCGTTGCCGTTCGGGTCGCTGTCCCAGACGGCCGTTGCCGGGAACCCCGGAAATCCGCCGCGGTACGAGGCGACCGGCGGCGCGGAACGTAGGCGGACGATGTAGAGCGACGAGACGTCGGGGGGGGAGGCTGCGGGGGATGGGGGAAAGGGGCGAGAGAAGGCAGGTGAGCGGCGCAGCATTTCAACACGGCTGAATGCCCCACCTGAAAGGTACTCGGTAAAAAGCTACTCGACAGCAGCGAAATTGCCGCGGTTTACAACTGTCATTGAGTCAACAGCCGAATCGTAGCAGCTTCTAAGTTACCACGAGAGTTGATCACTCGTGCGGCTGTGTGCGTACCGTTGGTCGGGCGGAGCAGCGGCGCTGCCAATAGCGAGACGACGATCAGGAGGAGGAGGAGATACGGGGTTCGTGTTTCGTGGCGGGTCTGTACAAGGCTGCAGTGTGAGCGGCAGTGTGAGCGGTAGTGCGAGCGATGCGATAGAAGTGGTTGTCTTTGAGAATGGACGAGCGGGAATGGAGGCCCAGGAAGGAGACTAAGCGAGCCAGAGTGTCTTTTCCGTGAGGCCATTTTCAAGCTCTATATTGGTCGCGCTTTGGTATTCAGACGCTCTATGATCGTACGAGGCAGGGGACGGGATTGCACGCAAATCTGGTGTGGTGTGCGTGTCGGCTACTGAGACCTCTGCGAGTTCAATACCCGAATCCTCTTCGTAAGCCAGGCCTCGTGCTGTGCTATGATGGATCGTGGAACGGGAAATATGCTGACTGCAGTCACTTCACGGTGTGGCAAGCAAACCACGAAACAGAAACACGGCTTGTTTTGAGTCCAATCATTATCCCTTGCTCGCCTGCTTCTTTCTTTTCTTCAGAACAGAACATGTTTCTGATGCTGCTGGGGGCGGGTCCAGGAATGCACGTATTCGCAGAAGACCCTACCCAACCATTCTCGTGTTTAACTAGACCGTTCAGGATCAAATCAAAACATTTTTCAACCGCCTCGTATTCGGACGTACTCTCCAGACACGCGCTGAGTTTCGGTGGGAAGGGATGAAAGGGAAGGGCGACTACACGAATACCCGGTTACCCGATCGTCAGTCACAGCTCTCGTTCCCAGCGATTCAATGCTGGGCTGGGAGCTCGCTCACACACACACGATTCAATGCTGGGCTGCGGCGGCTGCGCCTGACCGGGTCGCGGGGAATTGGCGGAATGGAGAACGAGGAAGGGGGGGAAGAATGAGGGATCAAAATATCGTTGTGCGGTGGTGACCGAGGAAGAGCAGAGTGGGTTGGGGGTTATCGATGGAGGGAGCTGTGGTCAATTCACGCGATTGTTGGAGGTTGCGCGGTGGTGGTGTGGCAGCGGTACGGGACCAGGTTGGGTGTTTGTACAAAAGTTTGGTTCGGGGAGATCAGATGGGGGAAAAAAGCAAGCTGGCTTTGGGGTGATTGATTGGGTAGGGAGAACTGGGGGAACGAAAACGAGGCTTCGAAAGAAACTCGCTTTTGCGGCGCGACTTGACGCAGATCCAGAGGACAAACAGCCTTGATCTGGCGGACAATGGTCCACCACTTGGGACAGCAGAAAACGACACATTCCCACTCAAAGCCTGACAGCTGGTCCTTCGGTGACTCTTAGGACGCATATTGTTTGGAGCAAGGAACACTTCCTTCTCTAAAGGATGGTCAGGTAGTAACGAGTTTCAATATACGTAGATGAATCTGGACGGTTGGCTTCTGGTTTCCATATTTTCCAGATCCCTCGAGGTTTTGTAGAGGAAGACGATTTCGCTTTGGAATTGCTTGTAGTCAACAATCATTCGGAACACTCCCTGGGCTTGTACAGTTGCCACCAGCAAGCAGGGACATAGGGCAGGTTGTAAATCTGATACGCATCGAAGCTGGTGGATGTGTCTGTTGAACGTGTACAGTACACATTGACGGTAAATGCTCGTTCTTGACTGAAAATCCACGTTGCTGTGCGTCAGACTCTGAGCGCCAGCCGTCACTGCTATTTGCTGCAGGCGAAATTCTCTGTAGCATAGCGTAGTGTTGTTTATAGGTTACAACTCGGGAAATTATGTCATTCTTAATAAACAAGGGGTGTGGTGAAACAAAATCGCGTACGATCTGTTGATATACCGTATGGCCCCGGATATAGGCGCCGTCCGATTAAAGGCGCCGGCGCCTATATCTGGAGCATGGCGCTTATGGCCGTTCCTCGATTATAAGTGCCCCCCCCTGTAAAACCCTGATTTATTATAAGCGCATGCATAATTTTATTCTTTCAATCCTTATCAAAACAGTAACGAATTTCGAATTTCAAGCGAGTCAGCACCCATTTTCACTTTGTTTGACTTTCGAGGTCCTGACTGGTTTCGCGTCCAGTCAGGATGAGGTGGCACGCGGGCAAATTGACGTGCGAAAAGCTATGTGCAGCGTCAGAGATTCGCCCTCACGCGATTCAAATTCAGGACGCTATAAGATGTCGACTCGATTGAACTTACGAGACGGAAATGTACAATTTGATGCGTTTAAGTTGTATTTCTTTATTTGTCATTATATAAGCGCCGGCGCTTATGGCCGATACTCAATTAAAAGCGCCCCAAAAAAAAAAAAACGGATTTTATTATAAACGCATATGCGCTACTATCCGGGGTAATACGGTAACCAAGGAATCGAAGGATAGGATAAAGCTAGCCCAGTAGAATAGGAGACAATGAAGTCTTTGAGTGACAGTTGAAAAGGATAGCATTACAAGGGGTTTATATAGCATTCCTAGCTAGCCATGTATTCTGAGAGGTACATTCCATTCTTAGTAGTTTTACAGGCATCGCTACAGTAACGGTGACTATTGCGATCCTTTACGGTTACCCTGTTGCAATGCGTAACCTCCGATTACGGTTACGGGATAGTCAACAGTCGCGACCATTGACTTTCCGGCAATTGTTGACCTTCGCGTGACTATTGATCTTCGCGTGCTCTATACGAGCTTACGCAGTACTGGTACAAGTGCGCTGCTTCGCTATGAAGCGGTGCGCTAAGAGGGAACCTTTGGGAATGTTATAACAACATGTTGGTTATTACAACACTCCCCTTCATTCCTGAAGGTGAGCCACGTGGGATTTTTTCACGATCTCGCAGAGGTTGGCGAAGTGCTGAAACTTCTGACGTGGCAGCTTCTTCGTCAGAAAATCTGCTGCCATGTCACCAGTTGGGCAATAGGTGAGTTTGACTTTTCCTTTATCGATCTCACCCTTGACGAAGAAGTAACGGAGTGCGATATGCTTCCTGCGATTCACGAATCCATGTTTGTTCGCGATTTTTATCGCGCTCTGGTTGTCGCAGAGTAACTTGAAGTGCCCGTTCATCGTCACTTTCGCTTCCTGCAGGAGCTCCATCAGGTACAGTCCTTCGCGAACAGCTGCGCTAGCAGCGATGAATTCGGCTTCAGTTGACGAAAGGGCAATGAGCTCTTGCTTCTGCGAGTTCCATGAAATAAGTCCAGCAGGTTCGAGTTAACAAAGCCTGTGCGGGAGCGTCTGTTGTCTGCATCTTCCGCATGGTCCGCATCCACGTAGCCGCATAGCTGAAGAGTAGACGTTAGGTTAGCCGTGTAGGTGAGTCCGACGTCAGGAGTAGATCTGAAGTATTGAAGTGTCTGGCGTAGGTCTAGCATATTCTCCCCTTCAGGTCGGCGCAGGTACTGTGCGAGCTGGTTTGCAACATAGGAGAGATCCGGCCGGCACGTGACGGTGGCGAATAGGAGGCACTCAGCTGCTGCTGATAGAGACGGCGGTCGTCGTTGGAGAGATGCGTGGTGTCGGCTTCGTGATTGGGAGGAGGAGTGCGTAAAAGAGTGGTGAGGTTGATTGGTGCGATTGCGAATTTAATTGCGAGAGTTTCGGCGTACTTCGTTGCCGAGAGATGGATAGAAGTGGTGGAGTGGGTGATGTTCAGTCCCAGAAACTGAGTGACATTGTGGTTGATAGTCACTTCGAGCTTCTATAAACATTCTTCTTCGAATCGGTCGAGGAGTTCCTTGTCGTCACCGGCATAGAGCAGGTCGTCCACGTAGGCGACAAGTAGGATGAATTTTCCGCGCAAATCCTCGTGTGGCAGCTGAGCGAAGCCGAGCTCAATGAGGACCGTCCGTAGGTACTGCTGCCACAGATGTGTGTCAGAATAACGAACGGGGATGAATGAACTAGCAGCAAGATGGGTACAAGTAGCAAACCCTAATTGGGTTGTACCCCATATGGGCTACACCACTATAGCCTACACAATAAGCAGCATATAAGTTTGACACACCCCCATAGGCATTGTGGGGGAGAACAAGAGGTCACAAGACCGGTCAAGAAAAGCAAAGCAAGCTCAGGGTGGATCACGAAGTCACCACGCATTTTGAGCACAAACAAATGGCCACAAGGCCAGTTCATATGCAGAGTTATATAAAGGAGAACAAGCAGTACAGTGATCACAACCTAGCAAGTGAAAGCATGCAGGTATATGTATATAGATCACAGTACAAGCAAAGTCAAGAAGTGAGCAAGTAAGACCAAGTGGGCACAAGGCCTAGAACAGTACAGAAAGGCTGATGATCACAAGGCTGAAGTGCCTTGGTGAAGATATCAGCAGTGTTGGCCCGAGAGGCCACGTAAGCAAGACGAAGCTGACCACGCTGCTGCAACTCTCGAGCAAGGAAGTAGCGCAGAGCGATGTGCTTCGTTCTGTGCTCCAGTCTGTGCTCCTGACACAAGGCAATCATGGCCTTGTTGTCGACGTACAGAACTGGAGGAGAACGAGGCGGCTCTCCCAAGTCGGTCAGCAGGTAGGTGAGCCAGCGTAACTCCTGTGCAGCCATGGCCCCTGCGTAGATCTCAGCCTCACAACTGGAACTGAGAAGAGGAGACGAGCGGGTAGATCGCCACGAAACAGAGCCGGAGCCAAGGCTGAAAGTGTAACCCTGTGACGACCGCTGCGTAGCCAAGTCGTCAACCCAAGAAGCGTCTGCGTGACCAGTGAGGACAACTCGAGCCCGTCCTCCAAGCACGAGCCCGATGCGCGACGTACTGCACAAGTAGCGCAACACCCTCTTAGCGGCCTCCCAGTGCTCTGGTCGGTGTCTCCCGGGCGCAACGTAACGTGCCAGGATGCTAAGAGGGTAGGCAAGGTCA